GATGACTTATTCGTTCAGGGCGCTGCCAGCGATGCAGTTTTCTCCCGATTTACTTACCTCTACCCGCCTGTTTGGAATTGCATCTTCCGTTTACTTTGCTTTCATTGCCTCTTCGTATGCCTCAGTGGAAGACAAGATAACTTGATATTTCGAAAATGCGGACACAACGTATAAAAGAAATATCACAACGCTTACTGGGAGCAAATATGAGCGTGACGTGACGGTTAATGGCGTACGAAATGGCATTGCCAAGCAGAGTTCAAGTTTCTGTGGCGCTTACGTTGTCCTCCTCTTCTCTCTCTCTCGTATGAATAAAATAATAGCACACATTAAAGTTCGTAATCCTTTGTTTTGCAACTAGTGTAGGAGAAGGAAAACAGATTTCAAATTCGCGAAAAAAAAAAAACACGTTTTACTATATTTACAAATAACATTCATGACTGTTGTCTGAAGAATCTGTGATTCATGGCTCTCGCCAACTTCCTATATTTTTTAGCGTTAAGTAATGTTTGTTCCCCTTGTAGCTTTAAGCAATGTATGTTTTTAACTATCCCAAACAGTCTCTGTTCTGCTATCCATTTACATAAGCTTGTTAGCTATATTGATCATGGCTCTCCACAACTTCCTATATTTTTTAGCGTTAAGTAATGTTTGTTCCCCTTACTGTCGCTTCCAGTCCCCGTTTTGTTATGCATTTACACAAGTTCGTTAGGCAGGTTGATCATAGCTCTCCACAACTTCCTATCTTTTCTTTTAGTGTTAGGCGATGTTTGTTCCCCTTACTGTCGCTCCCAGTCCATGCTTTGCCATCCATTTACACAAGCTCGTTATATAGCTTGTTCATGGCTCTCCACAACTTCCTATCCTTTTTAGCGCTAAACCATATTTGCTCTCCTTTCTGTTGCATCCAATCCCCGTCTTATCATCTATTTATACAAGCTCATTAGCTACGTTGACCATAGCTCTCCACAACTTCCTATCCTTTTTAGAGCAAAGCAGTGCCTGTTCCCCCTTGCTATCCCTGCCAATACCTGTTCTGCTATCTATTTGTACAAGTTCGTTAGGTAGGTTGATCATGGCTCTCCACAACTTCCTATCATTTTTAGAGCAAAGCAGTGCTTGTTCCCCCTTGCTACTCCTGCCAATACCTGTTCTGCTATCTATTTGCACAAGCTCGTTAGGTAGGTTGATCATGGCTCTCCACAACTTCCTATCCTTTTTAGAGCAAAGCAGTGCTTGTTCCCCCTTGCTACTCCTGTCAATACCTGTTCTGCTATCTATTTGCACAAGCTCGTTAGGTAGGTTGATCATGGCTCTCCACAACTTCCTATCCTTTTTAGAGCAAAGCAGTGCTTGTTCCCCTTGCTACTCCTGTCAATACCTGTTCTGCTATCTATTTGCACAAGCTCGTTAGGTAGGTTGATCATGGCTCTCCACAACTTCCTATCCTTTTTAGAGCAAAGCAGTGCCTGTTCCCCCTTGCTACCCCTGCCAATACCTGTTCTGCTATCTATTTGCACAAGCTCGTTAGGTAGGTTGATCATGGCTCTCCACAACTTCCTATCCTTTTTAGAGCAAAGCAGTGCCTGTTCCCCCTTGCTACTCCTGCCAATACCTGTTCTGTCATCAGTTTCCACAAGCTCATTAGGCAGCTTGTTCGTGGCTCTCCACAACTTAATATCCTTTTTAGCGCTAAGCAATATTAGTCTTTTACATCATCCCTCTCAGTCATTGTTTAATCATCCATTTACACAGGCCCTCGGCTCCATCAATATATCCTGTGTGTGCAAAATTCTCCAATCCGCTCTTCCTCATTCTGTGCCCCAGATATTTCAACTGTTTCTTTTTCTAAGTGTAAGTGTTTTTGTTGTTTCTATTTTCATTAAAACTTCCTCGTTGCTCACATACCCCTTCCATGGTATTCTCAGTATGCTTCTGTAGAACCTTGTTTTTATTTTTTATAATGATGTTTATTCTGTACAAGACCCGGTCGGGATCGATTCGAGTTAGAGGATTACAGATTAAGAGGCATAGTTTATGCGGATATATGAGGAAGATAACGGTTAACTCTAACAGGTTAAGATTGTAATGATCAGGGAAGCATCCACTTGGGAGTCGGTTCCACAAATCAGCGGTTCGTGGGGAGAAGCTGCTCAAGTGGAAATTACTTCTCTTCGATGGAATACGAAAGGAATGAGCGTTATCCTTTTACGTGAGCAAAGGTTAGAATTGGTGGAATATAGTTGAACATTTTCCCCGATAGCGTTTGCTTACGACCTTTCGTCTGAAAGGTGTTGTTACCTGAAAATAATTCATGCTATTTGTTCTTCGCGTCTCCTCTTCATCTACAAGATTATCCAGTATTCACTGCGATATTGAGGGATTCATATTACATATGGTTCTACTCAAAGCCCGTTGAAGCCACTGGCCTATAGGTTTTTGAAAAGGCAAAGGAACAGTGATTGATATTACATAGCAGTTCAGTATTTAAAGCCAATACCTACTTCTGAATAACTATCTATTTGAAAAGGGTATTCGTTAGGGGAGGTTGATCTTGGCTCTCCTCAAAGCCCGTTATCACTTTTGAGTGCAAAGCAGTATTTGTATTCGTTTTAGGAACGAGAGATTGATATTACCTAGCAGTTCAATAAAGCCCTGTTCTGTCATCAAGTGGGTATTTGAAAAGGGTATTCATTAGGGAGAGATTGATTTTACATTGCAGCTCCACTCAAAAGCCCGTTATCCTTTTAGCGCGAAGCAATATTAGGTCTTTTGAAAAGGCATCATCCTTTAGGAACGAGTCATTGATTTAATCATCCATTCAGTATTTAAAGCCCCTTGGCTCCATCAATATATCCTGTGTTTGCAAAATTCGTTCCAATCCGCTCTTCCTCATTCTCAAAGCCCGTTGAAGATATTTGAAACTGTTTCTTTTTGGTTTTGAAAAGTGTAAATTCGCTTTTTGTTGATTGATATTTTCAGTTAAAGTATTTAAAGCCCGTCGTTACTCGAATAACCCTTACCCATGGTATTCTCAGGGTATTCGTTGTAGGAAGGAAGATTGATTTTTTTAGCTTTTATAATGCCCGTTGTTTATTCTGGTACAATACCGAAGTACATGTAGGTATTTGGATCGATTCGAGTTAGAGGATTAGTTCAGTATTTAAAGCCTGTTAAGCTAGGCGAATAGTTTATGTGGGTATTTGAGGAAGATAACGGTTAAGATTAACAGGTTCAAAGCCCGTTGAAGCCACTGGCGATGAAGCACCCACATGTAGGTATTTGAAAAGGCTATTCGTTTAGGAACGAGAGATTGAATTACATAGCAGTTCAGTTCGTGGTTGAAGCTACTCGAATGGAAGTACTTGGGTATTTCGATGGAATGGGAAAAGATTGATTTTGAGCGTTGTTCAAAGCCCGTTACTTGGCGATGAATGTCGGGTATTTAGCTATTCGTTTTAGGAAAGGATTGATATTATAGCAGTTGGAATTTAAAGCCCGTTGAACATTTTCGAATGGAAACAGCGATTTAGCGTTATTCGTTGTAGGAAGAGAGATTGCGACCTTTCAGCTCAGTAGAAAGGGTTGAAGCCACTGGCGATGAATAAAATAATTAGGTATTTGAAAACCCTTTAGGAATGAGCTGATTTGTTAGCAGTTCAGTATTTAAAGCCCGTTGAAGCTACTGGCGAATAACGAAGTACAAGTGGGTATTTGAAAAGGGTATTCGTTGTAGGAAGGAGAGATTGATTTTACATTGCAGCTCAGTACTCAAAGCCCGTTGAAGCCACTGGCGATGAATACCGAAGTACATGTAGGTATTTGAAAAGGCTATTCGCTTTAGGAACGAGAGATTGATATTACATAGCAGTTCAGTATTTAAAGCCCGTTGAAGCTACTGGCGAATAACGAAGTACAAGTGGGTATTTGAAAAGGGTATTCGTTGTAGGGACGAGAAAAGCGTTAGTGTAGGGAGAGGAAAGCTCGCCATTTTTTTTTCATGTGAAATAAATCTTATCTGAGTGTATAATTATTTACTGCGGACTCTTTCCTCCTCTGGATATTCGACTGTCCCAATACCCTTTTATCTGTCGATCTGAATTAACTGCCCGTTGTCCAAGTGGCGCTCACTTTTCAAGAGTCTTCTTCATATTCTTGAATTCATTCTTGTACTGTTGCAGGTTGCACTGCCCCGTTGATGCATGCTACAGCAAATATAAAAACCTTTTTGCTACGAAGGAATACATTTGATCTTTCGTGATGCTATGATAGGTGGCATCCGGAAGAGTTCTTTCAGCCTTGAATGATATGACCCACTATTTCCCAATAGAATCTGTATCCACCGACTTGTGTTTCCCTCCAGTATATCTTTACTTTGCATGACAAAATATATATGTAACCTGTCGTGAGCACTTCGATGTGCTGTAATGGTTAACAAGCTTGTCTCGCTATATCGACTACTACTGAGTAGTAACTTCGATCCTCATTAGGTGCTCCATACTTTCGGCCTTTTGCCACATATAAACTTCGCTTATTAATTCACCTGTCATCCACCTTATTCAGGAGAGTAGTAGTAGTAGTGCTACTACTATTACTAGTAATGTAGACACGGTGGAGTAATGAATAGCGGTTCGGATTGAGGAATCGGAGAGCCGAGTTCGAATTCCAATCAAATCTGTTACATTCACTTACTTGTTAATACCCTTGGGAAAGGTATGAATCATCTTCTTCTCCTTCCAGCTATGGGTAAATAGCAGGACACACCGGGTTCTATAACCTTAGATGACAACTGGTCTAGCGCAGAAAGAAATGACAACCTACTGCGATAAAAAATCTGGATCGTCAGTCATGTATTGAAAGATACATGATCGCCTAAGCGTGTATCACGCATGGCACTTAACTGACTGAAATTCACTTACGTGCTAATACCATTGGGAAAGGTATGAATCCACTTTTTCTCTCCTTCCAGCTATGGGTAAATATCAGGACAGACCGGGTTA